GTGATTAATTTAAAACATAATTTCAGCTTCATCTTGCAAACATTGTTTAAAGCAAAAGCTTCGACTATTTTGTTTACAGTATTTTTTAGAGGGTCATTTGAAATGTGTAGCTTTAAGTTTTAAAAGTTTTATGGAATTATAGCAGGTGACCAGCTGTTTCCAGATTGCTAGGGCACAGAAGTTAGAATTCCCATTATCACATTAATCATAAAGAATTGAGACTAAAAAATCCATTTTATTTATTCTCATTATTGAATAAAGAGTTCTGTAGTGATGCCTATTTGTACTTGTTTCTGTAATAAAAATCAACTGTAGCTCTCAAAACAAATTAGTTTTAATTATTTAAATGATATGAATTTGTCAAACATAAATAATCTAACACGTGTTTTGCCTTTTCATTTTATGAAAGAAATGTTTTGTGAAAACTATTAGAGGATGATAGTGGGAAATAACAATTACAAAGGTAGGTCTATGCATTTATTACAAGTATCAATTAAAAAAAAATACGCAAGTGTGAACGGATCACAATCTGTCAGGATGAAGAAGTATTCCATTTCATTGTTGTGCGAGGTCACAAGAGAAAACAGCAAAATAGAAAAATGTCTCTCATATGCTGATTCAGTGCAACTCACTCATCCTATGCTCATCTTTGAGAACTGGTAAAAGTGATTTACTGTATAGCAATTCATCATATGAATACGATGCTAACATTACAAAGCAGTGATTGTTGTCGCTTTTGAGATGCTGCCACTCGCTAGTATGTGTGAAAGAAACCTCTTTAGGCAAAGGAAATGACAAATCTGTGTTTCCTGCTTTCTATTTGTTTTAGTAACTTCACTTCTGGAGATCTACCTGACCATACATGAAGAGTACTCAAAATGTGTAATGGGATATATAAAACAATTGTTTGCTAAAAATAGGGAATGGGATTTTTTTTTTCTCCACTGAATACTGTAATGATATCAGTTATTTATGTCTTGTGTTACATTTTGTTTTAAAATACCACTATTTAAAATTAGTAATGTCTTAACACACTATCCTGCATTCATTTATCATTTGGTTGAGGAGGAAAATTAAAAATGTAATTCAATTGGTTGGTAGTGCTGGCCTTATACAGCACTTGAAGCATTGATAATTTGTATGATTTTCTGTATATTAAAATATACTTTAATATTTATTACCTTTGTGGTGTATTAACTGATATATTTTTGGTAAAGAAAATATGCTAAGCAGATAGTTTCTGTTCTAAATAAACAAGGTAATTTTAGAATACTATGAAGCTGTTCAAACCTACTACTGAGTAGTTTGGCTGTAAGATTAATCATCTCTATTGTCTGTTCTTGAGGTGTCTCTCCCTCTGTGCAAAGTATTTCTAGCAGTAAAGCTAATCATGAGAACTTATAATACTCCAAATATATCATTATGTGACCACAGTGTGTATTGTCCCCTGTACATCAACAGTGTAGTTCAAGCTTTCAGAGCTGTCTTTAAAGAGAAGAAAAAAAGTGAATTTTCTCAAAGTGCTTCTATGATTATATTTTATGTAAATAATATTTCTCATTTGAAAAGCTTATTCTCCTAATTTTGCATATCTTCCTCCTTTTAAAAGCTGTTTATTTTCAAGAAATACTTACTGTCAATTAGACAGTAGATTGAGTGCAAGAAAGGTAGTATAGGAGTAATGGTATGTTTTAATGGCATTAGAATTCAACTAAAAATTGATTGTTGAAATAAAATAATTTGTCTAGTGTTTCGAAGAGTCAGAGTATGTAATTTCAAGAAAATCCGGTTTTGCTTTAGTTCCAGTTTTTACAATAATTTTCATAAATATGTGACTTGAAACTTTATTAACTGCTGTGTTAATTACCAGACAAAAAGCTTATGCAAAAACAGGAGGTTGTTTTCAAAACTACTGAGGAAGACACTTCTCTGTTCTTTTGGTGTTAAAGACAGGACTCTTAACTGTTTTAAGCTTCCAAAACTATTTATTTTTTTAATCTAACTACAAGTTCAGGAGAAAAAAAAATCTTTCTAGAAAAGAAATTAGTTTTTATTTTAACACTAGACTGGAAATTTTACGTTCATTTTACGTAGACTGTTTTAAAAATGTACCTTACAATCCAGTAACTAATATGTAATCTGGCTACATAAATTTATGTAAGCAGCATAATTACTGATGTGGCATTAATTTCTGCAATGGTTTTCAAGAAGCCTACATGTTAGTAAAGGTGTTAGGATGGTAGTCAATTAAGCACATCAAGATAATTTAGTTTTTTAAAAGTATAAGATATTTTTAAAAAGTATTGAGGTAGTGTCCTATCTGATCTATTTTCTCAATTCTTAAATATTCTTCCCTAAAGAGAGTTCTTTGCTACTTAACATACTCAAAAAAAACACAAACAAACGAAACATACAAAAGAAAAAACAAAACATGACACCAAGAACAATAAAAGAACACCCTTTTTAATCTAATGAATGAATGGTGAGCAGCAAACATCAC